GACGTGGGGGGCCAGGCCCGCGGCCGGGGATCGGGGACCCAGAGGTTGTTAGGAGCGGACCGTGGAGGGTTGAGGGGGGCTGGGTGGGTAGGGGCGCATAGGCACAGCCGGTTGGCACGTTTGGCACCCCCCACCCCCACTCCTCCCTCTCCCGTGTCTGTGGCTCCAAAACAGGAAGCCCACGGGGTCAGCTTTCAGTGAAAACTGGAACCAGGAAGTGGGGTCCAGCTCCTCTCAGGGGGGACCCTAAGATCTTGGGCTGGGGGGGCTCCTCCACCCCCCAAGTGGCTCTGAGAACAGGAATGTGAGAGCTTTAAGACAGGTGAAAGGAAAGATATTTTTATTTTTTTAATTTTTTGATTGATTAATTTGAGAGAGAGAGAGAAACGTGAATCTGTTGTTCTGTTTACTTCTGCATGCGTTGGTTGAATCTTTAATGTGCTCCCACTGGGGACCGAACCAGCAACCTTGGTGCATCCGGACAACAAACCAACTGAGCTACCCAGCCAGGGGGCAGGAAAGATCCTTTTAGCAACTTAGACATCCCTCCTAATTTGGTTAAATAAAAAAGTAAAATCACCCTGGCCGGTTTGGCTCAGTGGTTAGAGCATCGGCCTAAGGGGACTGAAGGATCTCGGGTTCGGTTTCCAATCAAGGGCCCGTCCCTGGGTTGCAGGTTCGATCCTGGGCCCCGGTCGGGGTGCATGCGGGAGGCAGCCGATGCAGGGGTCTCTCTCCCATCGATGTTTCTCTCTCTCTCTCCCTTCCACTCTCTCTGGAAATCGATGGAGAAAATGTCCTCCAGTGAGAATTAAAAAAAAAAAAAAGTAAAATCTTTTATACTTATTAAACCCCGATCAGTTTACCAAACACCTTCACGGTACATGATCTTACAGAATTCTATGATTCTCATCATACAATTAGAGTGAGAGGGCTGTTACGCTCCCATTTTATAGATGAGACGACTGAGGCTTGGTTACTGTACTCCCTGCAGGAGGGGCCACAGCGTGGCCTTGCAGCTTGACAAGGTTCCCTCCAACCCTCTGAGCAGCACCCCAGCTTTTGGGACCCTCAAAGGAATGGAGGCCCCACGTGGGAAGCACAAGAGAAGGGGGCTGCTCCGTACCGGGCCTGCTCAGGGGCCAGGTGACCAGGAGATACATGTAGGAGCTGCTTCTGTCCCAGGGCAGGCTCTGACCTGGGCCACGGAGCTGTGGCTCTTGCCTGAGGCCTGGCAGAAGCAGCTGATCCCTCCTCCGTTTCCTCCCCTCCCCAGGGGAAACGGTGTCCTGCTGGAGGGAGAACTGGTCGATGTGTCTCGGCACAACATCTCGGACGCCCGTGGCAGGAAGGTGAGGATGTTGGGGGCCCCCGCAGGGACACACACTGGCCTCACGGTCCTCACCCACCAAGGCCTCTCCCTGTGCTTGGCTCTGCCAGTGCCAAGTCTTGGGGTCTAGCTCTTTCCTTGAGGGGCTCAGGGGAGAGGGTCTTTCTAAGAAGACAGACCAGGCCCCGAACCCGAGTGGTGTGTGTGTTTGGGGTGGAGATTGAGAGGGTTCAGAGCAGGAGGGGGTGAGGTGAGCGGTTTGGAAATAAGGCTGTGGGTGCAGAGGGGCCTGGAAGGCCCTCGGAAGAGGTCCTGCGGCCTTCTGATGGTGCAGATTTAGTGAGCCTGGTGCCTTCCTGGTTTCTCTGCCTTCAAGGCCTCGCCTTCCCTGTTTCTCCTGGGAGGGGGTCTCCTCTCCTCCCATCCCTGGGAGCATTTCGCCACCTGCTCGGATTAGAACAGCTGGCAACCGGCATTACAGCGCCCTTGGTGCCTCCTGCTCTGCTCCTTTGCTGAGCCCTGACGACCTGGGGGCATCACTTTGTCCCCGTGGGACAGGGGAAACTGAGGCTAGGATTCGCCCCAAGCCCCAGGTCTGTTGGAGGAGGCACAGCGGCTGCCCTCACTCAGAATCCCCTGCCAGCACCTCTCCAGGGCACCTTGGCTGCTTCCATGGCTGCAGGTTAGGGTTGTCCCTATACTTTCTCTTTAATTCTCTCCCAAGGACATTTTTTCTATTGCTTTTCAGAGAGAGTTGAAGGGAGACAGACAGACAGACAGAGAGGGAGAGAGAGAGAAACGTCAATATGAGGGAGACACATCAATTGATTGCCTCCTACACGAGGCTGGGGCAGAGGGATCGCGCCTCCCACCAAGGCACATGCCCTTGGCCAGAATCAGACCAAGGACCCTTCAGTCCACAGGCTGGCGCTCCAACCACTGAGCCAGACTGGCCAGGGCATGTATATACTTTCTATCTTGGCTGTGGGGGGGCGATCTTGGGGTGAAGCCGTGGGCCCACCCTCTCACGGACGTCTAGCATGGTTCACAGTGTATGGCGATGCTCTATTAAACACTGGATGAGTGGATGGATGGATGGATGGATGGATGGATGGATGGATGGATGCTGGAGTGGGGATCTGGGCGAGTTGAATATCTTTGGAGCTGAGGGTGAGGCTCTGGGGTAGAGAGTGAGCTTGGCAAGGGCTGCATGGAGCCCTGTGGGAATTATGTGTGTGTGTTAGAGGGTGGGGGGCAGGGGAGCAGCCCCCTCACTCCCTCTGCCTGCCCCCCAGGAGCGCTACTATGTGCTGTATGTCCGGCCCAGTCGCATCCATCGCCGTCAGTTCGACCCCAAGGGGAATGAAATCGAGCCCAACTTCAGCGCCACCAAGAAGGTGAACACGGGCTTCCTCATGTCCTCCTACAGTAGGTACCTCTGCCCTTCCTCCCTCCCGCCCTCCTGCACCTTGGCCTTCATCTTCAGGGGTGTCTTTTATTTATTTACTTATTTTAAATATGTTTTTATTGATTTGAGGGAGAGGAAGGGAGAGGGAGAGAGAGAGAGAAACATCAATGATGAGTCATTGATCAGCTGCCTCTTGCTCGCCCCCTACTGGGGAATCCAGGAGCCTGCAACCCAGGCTTGAGCCCTGACTGGGAATGGAACCGTGACCTCCTGGTTCATGGGTCGACTCTCAACCATTGAGCCACACCAGCCGGGCTCCAGGGGTCTCTTGGCCCCTAGAAAGTGTCTTCTCAGCATGGTTGGCTTTAAGGCCCATGTCTGGCTTGAGGGCCCCCTGGCTGGACTCCTTCCTGTACCCCATTCACTCGGACCCCAGTGCCCCACCTCAGTCTGGCAGAATCGCCCATGAACCTGGCTCTGGGCTCTAACTGCCTTTGTGGGGAGCCCAGGCCAGGGTCCCTGTGGCCTCCACTTTCCTGCCAGAATCCTCAGTTGGTTCGTGGGCCCTTTCTGCCATCTGCCCCCGTGTGGGAAGGTTTTGAGGTTGAGGGGGAATGCATGCGTCCCTCTGCCACTGCGTTCATTCATGCTTTCTGGGGCTCATTAATTCTCTAAACATTTAATGAGCATCTAGCATGAGCCAGGCCCAGAGCCCATGCCCGAACCTCCTCTGCTGTGAGCTCCCTGATGAGTCCTGGAAGGGTGGGCGCTCAGCCCTCCCCTGGCTGCTATGGCCGGCTCTCCCTCAGTGCTCCTGTCACAGAGGGAACCATCCTCTTGTGCTGTGTGCCTGCAGAGGTGGAGGCCAAGGGGGACACGGACAGACTCACGCCCGAGGCACTGAAGGAGCTGGTAAATAAGCCGGAGCTGCTCGCCCTGACCGAGAGCCTCACGCCCGAGCAGACCGTGGCGTTCTGGATGCCCGAGTCAGAGATGGAGGCCCTGGAGCTGGAGCTGGGGGCCGGGGTACGGCTGAAAACCCGAGGTGACGGCCCCTTTCTGGGTGAGCAGCTCAGCCCTCACTGGGGCCTCATGTTCCCATTTAGCCTGGGGGGACTCCCAGCCTCCTGCCTGGGGCTCCCTCACCCCACCTGCTTAGAGCTCATGGGAGCAGCTGGCCTCCCTGGGGATGTGACCCCTTGAGATTTATTCCTAAGTCCCTGGACAAGTGCCCTGAGGCCAATAGCCTGGATCCTGGATCCTGGGGTGCTGCCCAATCCCATGGTGCCTGGAAGTGGCCTCTCCCATCTGATGCCTTGGGGGTCCCATCCAGGGTCTCCCTGAGGTCCACACCCAAGGCCTGAATAGAGCAATGGCTTAACTCCAGGCTGCAGGGACCCCAGCGGAATGAGCCAGCCCCCACTCTATTTCCGCCACAGAGAGACGCCACTCAATTCCTTTCCTTTTTTCAGATTCTTTAGCCAAACTTGAGGCTGGAACAGTGACCAAGTGTAATTTCGCTGGCGATGCAAAGACGGGGGCATCGTGGACAGACAACATCATGGCCCGGAAGGCTTCCGAGGGGGCCGCCGCGGAGACCCGGGAGCAGGGGGATGGAGCAGAGGACGCGGAGTGGGTAGGTCAGCAGGTCAAGGGCGATGGCCATGGACCTGGCATTGATGTGGTTTACCTCTTGGCAGGGGTCTTGTACCTCCCAGTGGTGGTGGTGTGTAGGACAAAGAAACAGCCATGTAGACTTGACCCTCCAGCCTTGGTGGGATTCCGTGGCGTTCCTGAGGGTGTGTTAGCATCAGGAAAATCCCTTCAAGGTGTGGAGGTGACCGTCTGGGACCTTTATTTCTTTTTTAAAATATTTTTTTATTGATTTCAGAGAGGAAGGGAGAGGGAGAGAGAGAGAAACATCAATGATGAGAGTCATTGATCAGCTGCCTCCTGCTCGCCCCCTGCTGGGGATCGAGGAGCCTGCACCCCGGGCCTATGCCCTGACCAGGAATGGAACTGCAACCTCCTGGTTCATTAGTCGAAGCTCAACTTCTGAGCCATGCAGGTGGGGCTGGGACCTTTCTTTTCTGCTCCCCAGAGATTTTAAAAGCAAGGGACGGGAAGAATGGACAGCAGAGGTGACCATCGTGGCTTCATATCAAGTCTCTAAACACTGTCACATCAAGCGACTGCGTGTTAGCCATGCTGAGACATTGAGCAAATGAATGAGCTTTTTTTTTCTTTGTTCTGAGCTCTGTGCCCACAATGGCTGGGAAATGGCTGACTTGGTCCATAGTAGGTTTTTGGGGTGTTTTTTTGGCCAAGAGTCAGCCCCCTAGTTGACCTCAGCCTACTCACAGTTGATTTGTGTTTCTGAAGTGTATCTCACCTCAAGATGTGAATGGATGTCAGAAGGCCCCAAATTGAACCTTTAAAAAGAAAGTCACAGGAAAATGGGCTATTTAAAGATGATGACCTTTGCTGGAGAAAGCAGGGGGTTCTATTAAGGGAGTTGTCTTATATAAAGTGAGTCTTGGACTAAAAAAAACACCTGGAGACGCCAAGCTGGCTCCGTGGGCCACCTCTAAGGAGGTGAGGCTGAGTCAGGTGCCCGAGGGCCCCACTGGCACTGGCACCACTCAGTCAAGCCCTTGTTGTCTGATGACTTGAAGACTTTTATGAAATGTGCTCTATTAACATCTCTTTCCTTTATCCCCAGGACGACTGAGGTTTCTGGGAGATGCAGTGTCCCCGGGGCCCACCAGCACTGTTGAGAATTTCTTCTGTGGACTTCCACTCTAGAGTTCAGGGAAGCCATCCACGCAGCCTTACCTGGTTCTTCCCCACGGCGCCACAGAAGACACTTCGAACAAGCCCTGCTAAGATCAAATCCACGACCACGCCATTAGTGGGGCCCAGGACCATGGATCACGGAGGGCCCCTCTCTGAATGTGACAGTAGCCTTCCTAGACAGTTTCATGCCAACCCTGCCCTGATGGCAGCTTTGTTCCTGGAGGCAGGTGGTGAGCAGGTGCCCCAGGGCTGTCAGAGGAACTGGGCTTGGGCTTGGGCTTGGGCTTGGTGCAGAATTAGGGAACATCCCTCATCTACATGCAAAACAGCTCAGAAGAGAAGCTATTGGGCTCCTTCCTCTGCCTTGTATTTCCCGATTTCCTGCCACACCTGCCCCTCCTTGGTGCTCTGTGCCCTGGTTTCTGCTCTCCTGCTCAGTCCTCCTTGTCTCCTGCACCTTTTTCTTTCCCCTAAAGCTGCCAGTTCTTTATAAACCTCCTCTGGTTCTCTGCCACCTTGGGGGTTCCTGCCTCCTGGCCTCCCTGGCTGCTTTCCTGGGGATGCTGTGCTCAGGTGTAGCCAGCTGGTCCCCATCTCTCAGACGTACTCTGCCAGGCCACTTTTTTTGATAACATCTTTTTTTGTTGTTGTTTTGTACCTGGAGACCTTTTTTATAAGTGAGTAAATCTTCAAAAAATGATAAGGTGAGAATACTTTAAAGTTAATACTTTACTTAGCCTTTTCCCTATTAATAGTGAGCTTGAACTGTTTTTCCTGTTCATTGCCCAGCTGTATTTCTTCTCTTACTCAGTTTCTTTCTTTGCCCATTAATCTACCGAGGGGGTGGGTCTTTTGGGTTCGTCACAGTCGTTTATATTTTTAAATATAACCATTTGCCATATTTTAACAACTTCTTTTCCATTTTTATTTGTTCATGTTTATTTTTTCCCACTTTTAAAAACTGGTTTTACAGATATATAAAGTCTATATAGAGCTGCTGACTTTTTGTGATTTTTATTGCTTCTGAGATAGTCTCTTTTCAGATNAACTTCTTTTCCATTTTTATTTGTTCATGTTTATTTTTTCCCACTTTTAAAAACTGGTTTCACAGATATATAAAGTCTATATAGATAGAGCTGTTGGCTTTTTGTGATTTTTATTGCTTCTGAGATAGTCTCTTTTCAGATGTTATTCAACTTCATTTTCTTCCATTTTGGTTATTATCTGGTTTTATATTTACCTCTTTCATCCACTCTGCCTTTAATTTGTAGAAGCATATGAAATGAGATCACTAAATTGCTTAATTTCAAATTGCTAACCAGTTATCCCAACATATTTATTGAATATATTCATACTGGCAAGCTATGCTGTCTCCTACATCACATATTAAATTATTTTATACTTATATTATCCACTATAATTCAGTAGGTCCCCCTACAAGGACAATGCGAACGATCATAGTAGGTTTTGATAGTTGGTCGAGCCTGGTCCCCCATTCTGCTTTAGAATTATCTTTGGAACTCCTCTCAACATGTAAAACATTTTGTCAAGTTTCAGTGCCTATTTACTGCCTTTGGATATTTTTAAATTAAAAAAACTTGGCTACAAGAGTAATACATATTTATTTTAGAGGAAAAAAAATTGTATTGATTGGTTTTGAGAGAGAGAAAAGAGAGAGGCATCGCTTTGTTGTTCCACTCATTGGTTGATTCTTGTATGCGCCCTGACCTGGGATCCAATCTGCAGCTGCGGCATATTGAGACAATGCTCCAACCAGCTGGTCTATTCTAGAAAAATTAAAAAAAAATAGAAATAGAATTCCACCACCTCTTTTTCAAAATCATTTAGGTCGTGCTCCGTTATATGCCATGTACTTCGCTTGGAGTGCTTGCAACTCCCTTTGGGGTCATACAACTGGCTGAATGGATTTTTTTCCAAGTAGAAAACCCCCAGGTATACAGTGAAGGAAACTGATATTCAGATGAAGACACTCGCCCCAGGTGCCCGGGTGTCAGCAGAGCCAGGGCTCAGGGCACTGTGGCTCCGGTCACCTCTAACAGACACAAACATTCACATCCAACAAATTTTTACAACGTGGGGTGTCCCTGTACATACTTGTGTAACCTTCCCACTTACAAATATGCCTTGAACGCTTCCCTATACCATAAATCTTTCCCTTTTTAATACGTATTATAACATTTCTCAGATGCACGTGGATCAATGCGTTTAACCAATTCCTCCTTTTGGAAATAATTCGTCGGCTTCCCATTTTCCCCCTGTAATAATAACAACACTCCTGAGGCGTGCGCTCTGAACAGCTGAATCTTTTTCACACATCCACAGTCGTTTTCATTATCAATTCTGAAACTGGGCATGCTGGGCCTAATCAATATTCTATATATTTTGATGGCGTTTGATACATGTTGCCAGTCATCTGGGTCAGATTCCAGTCTGCAGCTTGAGCTGCAATATAGGGACGTGCTCCACCTCACCCCCATTAAGTCATGAAACGGAAAAAATTTTTAAAAAATTTAAATAAATTGTAGCAATGCGGGGTCGCCTTAGAGATCTCTGGATCCCACCACTCACTACCTACCATGGGTGGGACGCAGGAGCATGAAAATGACCTTAATGCGCCCCAAATGGGGAAAGGCTAAGCGAGCTGGCACCTCCCAGCGGGAAGGCAGCACGTGATGTGTTGATCGAGAGCGTGAGAAAGGGGGGGCCCGGCCGCCCCTTTGCAGGGGCGCGGCTGCAGCCAGGACCTGCCCCCCGCTCCGCCCCACGTGCTGGGCTTTGCGGCTGGATCTGGGCGAAGGACACAGCTCCGGGCTCGCGTCCTGGCCTGTCCGCGACCAGCCAGCCAACGCTGCCCGAGGTGACGGTCCTCCGCAGCCTCGATGTCCCGGGGTCCCCACCAGCCCTCCCGCGCCCCACGCTCTGCAGCCGGGGAGCCGGACTCTTCGCGATCCGGCCCTATGGACGCCGGGGACAGGCAAGCGGGCGGGGACGGGAGGGTGTTACGTTTCCGCCGGACCCTTTCAGCGACGCACCCACCGGAAGTGCCCGTGTTGTGGGCGGAAGTTGATGTCGTCTGGACGCCGCGGGGCCCAGAGGAGCGTGGCGGGCGAAGATGATCCAGGCGATTCTGGTTTTCAACAACCACGGGAAGCCGCGGCTCGTCCGCTTCTACCAGCGTTTCGTGAGTGCGGCCGAGCTTCCTTCACGCCCCGCCAGGGTCCCTTCAGGGCCCCCGCGTCCCCTCCCCTCCCTGAGGCCCC